GATTGATTACAAGAAGGCATTCAGCTTCCTGCCACATGACTAGATAATCAAGTGCCTAGAAATAACAGAAGTCAGTAGAAACATCAGAAGCTCTGTGCAAAGTTCAATGGCACAATGGAAGACACGGTTGCTGCTCAGTGGTGATAGACTGGGAGAGGTTAACATCAAGAGAGGAATCTTTCAAGAAGACTCACCATCACCACTACTGTTTGTCATGGCATTGATTCCTCTGTCAACAATACTGAACAAGTCAGGCCATGGCTATCAAATGTCAAGAACAGCTGCCAGGCTATCCCACCTCCTTTACATGGATGATCTGAAGCTGTATGAAAAACTCCATCTGAAATGGAATCACTGCTCAACACTGTCTGAATATACACCCAAGATATTTCAATGGAGTCTGGACTGGACAAATGTGCCACCCTTACCTTCAGCAGGGGAAAAATAGTGAAAACTGAAGGAACCAAGATGCCCAACATCAAGAGTCTGGATGAGGAAGATCACTACACATATCTGGGCATCCTTCAGGCTGACAACATCAAGCACACTGAAGTCAAGAAAAAGGTTAGTAGTGAATACATCATGAAAGTGAAGAAGATCTTAAAGTCCAAACTCAGTGGTGGAAATACCATCAAGATGATTAATACCTGGGCAATTCCAGTCATTAGATATATAGCTGGAATAGTGGACTGGACTCCAGCTGAAATAAAAGTCCTGGATAGGAAGACCAGAAAAGTAATGACAATGAATCATGCCCTCCATCCACAGAGCAACATTGACAGACTCTATTTACCAAGGAGCATAGGTGGGGATGGAATGTTATATCAGACAGTTGAAGAAGGAAAAAGGGCATTAGACAAATATCTGAAGGACAGTGAAGAAGATGCACTGAAGCTAGTATACCATTAAGGCTTACTGAATACTGAAGAGACCAAACCGGACCACAAGTGAAGAATAGAAAAGAGACATGGCAAGGCAAAGTATTACATGGCCAGTATGTAAAAAAAATAGCAGACAAGACAGATAACAACAAGACCTGACAATGGCTAAGAGCAGGAAAGTTGAAGAAGAGACAGAGGGGCTAATTCTGGCTGCACAAGACCAAGCCTTAAGAACAAATGCATATGAAGCCAGAATTGAGAAGACAGCAAATACTGCCTCTGCAAAGAAGCTGAAGAAACAGTGGATCACCTAGTGAGCTGCTGCAAGAAGATCACACAGAGTGACTACAAACAATGGCATGACAAAGTAGCAACAATTGTGCATTGGAATATATGCAAGAAATACCACTTGC